GTGTTAGGGTTCTTTGTTTTTGGGGTTTGGCAGAGATGTGTTTAAGTGCTGTGGCCAGAAGTGGGGGGAGGGGGGGTTTGGTGAAAATTTTTTGTTATGATGTCTGTGTGGAAAGCGGCTGTGCAGACATTCAATTGTTATTATTATGTCTTACAAGCATTAATTAATTAACACACTTTAGTAAGTATGTTCGTCTGTAATATTGAACGTAGGTGCGATAAATAATAGGATGAGGCAGGAATCAAAGACAGATACTGCGACATAGGGTGCTCCGGCTCCAGCGTCTCGCAATGCTATCGCGTGCACACCCCCCAGACGAAAATACCAAATGCATGGAGAGCTCCCGTGAGTGGTTAATAGGGTGATAGACCTGTGATCCATCGTGATGTCTTATTTAAGGGGAACGTGTGGGCTATTTAGGCTTTATGACCCTGAAGTAGGAACCAGATGTCGGATACAGTTCACTTTAGCTACCCCCAAGTGTTATGGGCCCGGAGCGAGGAGAGTAGCACTCTTGTGCGGGATATTGATTTCACGGAGGATGGTGGTCAAGGGACCCCTATCTGAGGGGGGTCATCCATGGGGACGAGAAGGGATTTGACTGTAATGTGCTATGTACGGTAAATGGCTTTATGTACTATGTACTGTTAAGGGTGGGTAGGTTTGTTGGTATCCTAGTGGGTGAGGGGTGGCTTTGGAGTTGCAGTTGATGTGTGATAGTTGAGGGTTGATTGCTGTACTTGCTTGTAAGCATGGGGAGGGGGTTTTGATGTGGATCGGGTTTTTATGTACTACAGGTGGTCAAGTATTTATGGTACCGTGCAATATTCATGGTGGCTGGCAGTAATGTACGAAATACATAGCGGTTGTTGATGGGTAAGTCAATACTTGGGTGGTACCCAAATCTGCTTCCCCATGAAAGAACAGAGAATAGTTTAAATTAGAATCTTAGCTTTGGGTGCTAATGGTGGAGTTAAAGACTTTTTCTCTGATTTGTCCTTGGAAAAAGGTTTTCATCTCCGGTTTACAAGACTGGTGTATTAGTTTATACTACAAGGACAGGCCCATTTGAGTATTTTGTTTTCAATTAGGGAGATAGTTGGTATTAGGATTAGGATTGTTGTGAAGTATAGTACGGATGCTACTTGTCCAATGATGGTAAAAGGGTAGCTTACTGGTTGTCCTCCGATTCAGGTTAGAATGAGGAGGTCTGCGGCTAGGAGTCAATAAAGTGATTGGCTTAGTGGGCGAAATATTATGCTTTGTTGTTTGGATATATGGAGGATGGGGATTATTGCTAGGATGAGGATGGATAGTAATAGGGCAAGGACGCCTCCTAGTTTGTTAGGGACGGATCGGAGAATTGTGTAGGCGAATAGGAAATATCATTCGGGCTTGATGTGGGGAGGGGTGTTTAAGGGGTTGGCTAGGGTATAATTGTCTGGGTCGCCTAGGAGGTCTGGTGAGAATAGTGTTAATGTCATTAAGGAGAGAATGAAGAGAAGTAAGCCGAGGGCGTCTTTGATTGTGTAGTAAGGGTGGAAGGTGATTTTATCGGAATGGGAGGTGATTCCTAGGGGGTTGTTTGATCCCGTTTCGTGCAAGAATAGGAGGTGGAGTGCTGCTAGGGCTGCAATAATGAAGGGCAAGATGAAGTGAAAGGTAAAGAATCGTGTGAGGGTGGGACTGTCTACTGAGTAGCCTCCTCAGATTCATTGAACTAGGTCTGTCCCAATGTATGGGATGGCGGATAGTAAGTTTGTAATTACTGTGGCCCCTCAGAATGATATTTGGCCTCACGGGAGGACATAGCCTATGAAGGCTGTTGCTATAGTTGCAAGCAGGAGGATAATGCCGATGTTTCAGGTTTCTGAGTAGAGAAATGATCCGTAATATAGGCCTCGCCCGATGTGTAGGAAGAGGCAGATAAAGAATATTGAGGCGCCATTGGCGTGAAGGTAGCGGATGATTCAGCCATAATTTACGTCTCGAGTGATGTGGGCGATTGATGAAAAGGCGGTTGAGGCGTCTGGTGAGTAGTGCATGGCTAGGAATAGTCCTGTGGTGATTTGGAGGATCAGGCAGGCGCCAAGGAGTGAGCCGAAGTTTCATCATGCGGAGATGTTGGATGGGGTGGGGAGGTCGATGAGTGAGTGGTTAATTAATTTTATTAGGGGGTTAATTTTGCGTATTGGGGTCATTGGTGTTCTTGTAGTTGAAATACAACGATGGTTTTTCATATCATTGGTCGTGGTTGTAGTCCGTGCGAGAATAATGATGTATGCTTTGTTTCTGTTGAGTGTGGGTTTAGTAATGGGGTTTGTGGGGTTTTCTTCTAAGCCTTCTCCTATTTATGGGGGTTTAGTATTGATTGTTAGCGGTGTGGTCGGGTGTGTTATTATTCTGAATTTTGGGGGAGGTTATATGGGTTTAATAGTTTTTTTAATTTATTTAGGGGGAATGATGGTTGTCTTTGGATATACTACAGCGATGGCTATTGAGGAGTATCCTGAGGCATGGGGGTCAGGGGTTGAGGTCTTGGTGAGTGTTTTAGTGGGGTTAGCGATGGAGGTAGGATTGGTGCTGTGGGTGAAAGAGTATGATGGGGTGGTGGTTGTGGTAAACTTTAATAGTGTAGGAAGCTGAATAATTTATGAAGGAGAGGGGTCAGGGTTGATTCGGGAGGATCCTATTGGTGCGGGGGCTTTGTATGATTATGGGCGTTGATTAGTAGTAGTTACTGGTTGAACATTGTTTGTTGGTGTATATATTGTAATTGAGATTGCTCGGGGGAATAGGTTATGTGATTAGGAGTAGGGTTAGGATGAGTGGGAAGAAGAAAGAGAGGAAGTAAAGTTTAATTATGCCTTTTTGGGTTGAGGTGATGATGGAGGTGGAGATTTGGTGCTGTGAAATTGTTTTAGGTAATAGCTTTTCTAGTCAGGTTAGGTCTAGGAGGAGTAGGGGCAGGTTTTGGCTCGTAAGAAGGCCTAGATAGGGGATTGTGCGGTGTGTGATGCTAGGGTAGAATCCGAGTATGTTGGAGAAATAAAATGTGCATAGTGGGGATTTTATTTTAAGTTTGTTGGTTAGGTAGTTGAGGTCTAGGGCTGTTAGAAGTCCTAGGAAAGTGACAGCGAGGGCTGTGAGTTTTAGGTAGAGGGGGATTGTTGTTTGGAAGGGGGATGCGGGGGAAATGTTGTTAGTAATGAGAAATCCTGCGAATAGGCTTCCGGCTGTCAGGCGTTTAATGGGGTTTAGTAGGGTGGGGTTATTTTCGTTAATGTTAGTAAGGGTGGGGAAGCGAGGTTGACCTGTTAGGGTGAGAAGAATTATTCGAGTGCTATAGGCGCTTGTCAGGGAGGTAGCGATGAGAGTAATAGATAGGGCTCAGGCGTTTGTGTATGATATGTTTGCGGTTTCGATGATGTGGTCTTTGGAGTAGAAACCTGTGAGGAAAGGTATTCCTGCTAATGCTAGGCTGCCAATGGTGAGGGAGGTTGAAGTGAGAGGTATGGTTTTGAGTAGTCCTCCTATTTTTCGAATATCTTGTTCATTGTTAAGGTTGTGGATGATGGACCCGGAGCACATAAATAGTATGGCTTTGAAGAAGGCGTGGGTACAGATGTGCAGGAATGCTAGGTGTGGTTGGTTGATGCCGATTGTAACTATTATGAGTCCTAGTTGACTTGAAGTGGAGAAGGCTACGATTTTTTTGATGTCATTTTGTGTAAGGGCGCAGACTGCTGCGAACAGAGTGGTGATAGCGCCTAAGCATAGTGTTAGAGTTTGGATTAGTGGGCTATTTTCTGCTAGGGGGTGGAAGCGGATGAGTAAGAAGATTCCTGCTACAACTATAGTGCTTGAGTGGAGTAGGGCTGAGACTGGGGTGGGGCCTTCTATGGCTGAGGGGAGTCAGGGGTGGAGACCTAATTGGGCTGATTTGCCTGCTGCTGCTAGGAGGAGGCCTAGTAGTGGGGTGAGGCTTGGATTAGCGTTTAGAAGGGCTATTTGTTGTGGGTCTCATGAGTTGGAGTGTAGGATAAATCATGCTAAGGCGAGGATGAAACCGATATCGCCGATACGGTTGTATAGGATTGCTTGAATGGCTGCTGTGTTGGCATCTGCTCGGGCGTATCATCAACTGATGAGCAAGAAGGATATAATTCCTACGCCCTCTCAGCCGATGAACAGTTGGAATAGGTTGTTAGCGGTAACTAAGATTAGTATGGTAATTAGGAAGATGAGTAGATATTTGAAGAACTGATTAATGTTTGGGTCTGAGTTTATATATCACAGTGAGAATTCTATGATGGACCATGTAACGAACAATGCCACAGGGATGAATATTATGGAGAAGTAGTCTAGTTTGAAGCTTAGGGAGAGCTGGGTTGTTTGGGTTGTGGCTCAGTGTCAGTTCGAGATAATAACTTCTTGGTCTAGGCACATGAATATTGTTGTGGGGAAGAGACTGATAATAAAGGTGGATGCGACAATGGATTTTACATAATGGGGGTATGAGTTTTTTTTGTTAGGGTTAACGAGGGTGGTAAGGATGGGGGGAATTAGGGAAGTCAGGGTTAGGGTGGTTATAGTAGTGTGCATGGTTATTACTTTTATTTGGAGTTGCACCAAAATTTTTGGGGCCTAAGACCAATGGATAGCTGTTATCCTTTAAAAGTTGAGAAAGCCATGTTGTTAGACATGGGGGCATGAGTTAGCAGTTCTTGTGAGCTTTCTCGGTAAATAAGGGGTCGTAAGCCTCTGTTGTCAGATTCACAATCTGATGTTTTGGTTAAACTATATTTACAAGAG